GGAAATTCAAAAAGAAACATGTTGCCTGTCATTTCATACATGTTTACTCCATATGCTTTGTTCGATGACGCACTAGCCCATCGCCTTATGTCTGCTAAAGTGGGTCTTTCGTTGATTTCTTTCCCAAAAAACCCGACAATGCATCTTTTTAGTAGACTGGAATCCTCGCTACCCGTCGGTTCTACAACAGAGATATCTCCATTGTTTATGCTGACCTTTGCCTCTCGAAGGGTATTGAGTTGCCATTTACTCTCCTTGATTGCTTTGACGTAAGGGTAGTTGTCCACAGTGATTCTAGGTGGGACTGTGGGATTTATTTTGGGGGTCTGATGTATGAATCTTTCTATCTTAGCTGCTATGTCTTTCCAGCCTGCATTCACAGCTAACTCTGGAATTATAATAACAGACCTCCCTTCTCCCTTCAGTGACAGAATGCTCATGTATCTTCCATGAACGTTGAATTTCCTGGTACAGAAATGTTCTGTCATATATTCCTTGTACTTCCATCGCTTCACTAAATTCATTTGATCTGTCGACGCTTCTTTAAGTACAAAACAAATCCATTTCATTGCCTTTCTGCCCATGGATGAACGTCTTATCATGCTGCGGCTTCTCTCCACCCATTCGAACCATACATCTTTGTTGGAATTCCATCTGGTGATGTCAAAAGATTTGAATCCTGCGTTAAAATAAATTCGGTTGTCTCCCATATTGTACCACCCAGCTGTTCAGGTTATGGAAAGGAGTGTTTGCTGGTAATCACAGTTGAGCTGTTGATGTGGAAGATACTGAAATCTGGACTAAAACAGAGGTTCCCCGCACCCCGGAAAAATAAAAATCGTTGGAAATCTGATTTTTTTTTTACAGATGTGGTCGGAATTGTCAGTAGGGCAAGCTGTCCAAATTTTTTTTTGAAACCCTGCCGGAAAAAGGCTCACGCGCCCGGCGCGTTGATTTTAGGTCGCCGGAAGGTTCCGCGCGTGGAGGCGCGTGGCAGTCAGTTCGTCGGAAAAATTTCAGTGGGGTGGTCGGAATTTTGAGGCCTTTCTAATGGTGTTCATGTAAAACTAAGATTCCTTGTTCCCAGGCTCCTCGGGGAGTGTGCCTGAGAGCAGTCAGTCGTGTGTTTTGAGAAGGTAATATTCTAATTAATAAACTGAGAAATAAACTGCTATATCAGAGAAAAGATACTCTCAGGAGATATTACTACGAAGTTTGTGAGATCAGATGATCAACTTGCAGATATTTTCACCAAGTCCCTCACTAGTCCTCGCATTGATTATATATGTAACAAGCTCGGTACATATGATTTATATGCTCCGGCTTGACGGGGAGTGTTAGAGATAGCTATGTAATTGTCCCACATTGGAATAGGAGTAGTATCCCCTTTGTATAGAGTAGCTATAAATAACACCTCTTGTATTGCATCACACACAATATATCAATATATATCATATTTTCTCCCGTGCCTTCTCACAATGGCATTGGGCTCTTCCACCTTAATAGCTAGCTTTTGGGGTGTGGTTCTCCCTAAGTTGTATCACTGACCTGTACGATCTTCTTATTTGAACCTGGTAAGGAGAGAGGAGTATACAAAGGGAATCTAAACTGGGCCAGGGAGTTAGAACGGGAATATTTTACTTAAAAGCTTGACATTCCGAATATTTTAACTCTAGCATTTTAACACATACCTCAATGGGAAAGTAGAGAAACCAATTTGAGTTTGCTTATTTTGAATATAGTGTTACGACATAGTTAAGTAAAGATTAAGCTTTTAGATAAGGTGGTGACACAATTCAACATTGTATTAGAGGAAGCAAAAGGTTTTGGGTTCAAGCTACCCTTATCAAAAGGAATTTTTCAGGTGCTTGATCCATGAAAAAGAACTAGATCCACACACTAGATCCACACACGAGGGTGTGTGTTATGTTTAAATAAATATTAAGTGTACCCTCTCTACCAACTTAAACTTTTAGATCAGCTAATCACACAACTCAACATATAGCAGAGTAGTCAAAAGCGAAAAGCACAAAGCAAGCACCAAAATTCTTTGGGTCCTTAAGTTGAAAGCACGATTAAAGCGTTGACTTTAGCAAAGAAAAGTGCCGATGAAGAAAACATAATCGAAATGTAAAAACTGTAAGCACAATCAATTTCAGAGACCATGTTAAATTTCTGCTATAGATTGAAGAGATGTACTTTTAGGTTTTTAGTGGCTAGTTTCTTATAATGTATATCTAATTTATTTTTTTGAATCACTAAAGGTTCGGTCATGATGTTTTCTTAACAATTAATGCATCACTTTGTCAATTATATTTATTGTCTATTGCTGTGCTCTTAAAGACAGAGCTCATCAGTGAAGATGTGCACACCTTAGCACCTTCAAGAATATGCTAAAGCACCAACTAAGTGAGGTGAAGCATACAACCCGAACATCATTTAGCTTCAGGGCTTAAGCATGCTTTAAGTGAACCTTAAACAACACTGACACAGAGAAAGCAGATAGTCTCCAGAATGGTTTTCGGTGAACAACAACAACATACCCAGTGTAATCTCACAAGTAGGGTCTGGGAAGGTTTTGTTGGAATCTTGATGGAAAAGTGTTTGGTTGCCTGAGTCTTGCCGAAAACGTTTCAGCTGCAAGATCATTGGACAGAGTTCAGTCCAAATTTTTGCAGAAATAGTGGTCGAAAAAATGCAGGTGCCTTCGTAATTGACATTCAAGAGGCATGGTATAGCCGATAAAAAGGAAATAGAACTGCAATTAAGCAAAATATAAAAAGTAATACCAAGTAAATGAAGTTCTGGAACCATTTTAAATTTTTTATGCGGAGGCAAAGATACAGTTTTTAGCTTTTAAGATTTAGTGACAAGTTTTCTAAATTTCAATCTTGTAATTCTTAATCACTAATATAAGTACCGATGATGCCTCGACTGTGGCAACAATTTATTTTTTGGTGTCATTCTATTCAAGATAGAGAACCACTTAAGCAAGTTGGAACCTACATTGCACCTAGTCTCTCAGTTTTATATTCCTTAAGCGTGCCTTTAACAATACTGACAGTGACTTGGATGGGAAGAGGGCAAAGGATAGTGCTGGTGGGCCTGGCTGAAGATTAGGGTGGTGACAATGGAGACTGATTGTCTAAGGATCATTGTTACTATTATTTTGATAAGTTCTCTTGAAGGATCGTCTCTTTTTCTCCTTATGAAGGAGAACATTTGACTGGTAACCAGTGAAAGCAAAAACGGATAGTAACATTTTCACCTGCCTAGTGAGTTACTATATAATCTTTATTTAGTTGGACAAAATATCTGTGTATGAGTACTTGCAATGCATGGTAGTATGCAATACTGGTCTTAAATCTCTAGGGAACTAAATTTGTCTCAATATTTACAGCTCTTTCACAATATTGCAACACATCGCCATATGGGGAAATCTTGTTGCTTTCTATGTCATCAATTGGATTGTCAGTGCCTTCCCATCCTCTGGCCTGTATACAATAATGTTTCGCTTATGTAGACAGCCCTCATATTGGATTACTATATTTGTAAGTAAACTTTTTCTTTTTCCATGTAGTGTTCACAATTTAGAGGGTTTTTTATTTATTTATTATTAATTTGGATGGTATTCAACTCTATGGTTCACATACTTTCTGAATTTGAAGCTCTCTTTGGATTGGATTTTACTTTTGTCACCATGATGAACTTGCTTAACAAAAGCACAGTAAAAAAGTCGAGATAATGCTTCAGATTAGTTACTTAATCCATCTAATTTTGTATAATATAGTGTGGCTGGGTACAATGTTTTAGGAGATGATTTACTATTATACCAGCAGTATCAGAAGAAATACTTGTAGTTGGATACTTCATTTAATTGGAGAAACATTATCTAGGAGTTGATTTTTCGAATTGTTGCATGAACTCAAATTCTTTAACACTTGAAAGTGTAGATACTCTGTTGAGTTTAAATTAATTTGAAATGTCTGAGAAAAGAATGTGTCATGTTACTTGGGCCAGGTGTAGTTAGTCTTCAGATTATTCTTGACATCATTCTTTCACCATCTTTCCTTGCTGATCCAAAAATAAGCTAGTATGTTTACCATTTAAGTGAAGTTGTGAATTTTTTAAAATATTTGTTGTTTAAATATGGATCCATTGTAGTAGATCACCAAGGCTAGAGAGTGTAACACCTTGTGAAAGTCGATGCTCCCACACAAATTGATTACAAAGTGATGGAAAAGTATGTACTTAAGTCTACTCGTTTTCTATATACTAAAGGTGATAAGGTGCTCCTAATTGTTATATAAAATGCTTTGTTGCACCTAATTAGATAGGATGCATGAAATGACTCCTTTTTTTTATCAATTATCTTACAAGAGGAACTAATTTTGTTATTCCCTCTTTAAGTAGCAACTATAATATAAGAGAACTAATTTTGGTTTTCCTCCCCCTTCCAGATCATTGTCACAGCTGGCATGGGTCCAGTGCTAGCTTTGAAGTACTTCAGGTATACCTACAGATCAAGTAAAATTAACATACTTCAGCAAGCCGAACGTATGGGAGGACCTATATTGACCCTGGGTAATATAGAGCCTCAGTCGAGATCCTTGGATAAAGATGTTACACCTTTATCAATTTCTCAACCCAAGAACCGTACTTCTGTCTATGAACCACTACTCTCAGATTCACCTAGTGCTACAAGACGTTCTTTTGGACCAGGGGCTCCATTTGATTTCTTTCAGTCCCAGGCCCGGTTGTCTTCAAATTATACAAGAAACTGCAAGGACAACTAATATTGGCAGTTCTCCTGGCAGGACATGCGGAAATTATACAGATCACATGTAGAAAAGATATTACAGTGAGGACACTAACTGTCGATCCGTTTTTTTCAACTTACCAGCATCTTATTCTACACATTTTCTATGTTGCGCGTGTTACAGTTGCATCAAACTGCCTATGTCATACTCAGGGCTGTATTTGGCAGCTTATGGCGTAAAGATCAGGACCGATTACTGTTCCCAAGGTATGAAGATGCAACACGTTAGCACAATTTGATTATTGTTTGTTGGAGGAAACAGTGAAACATTTCGCAGATTCTGACACCCCATTTTTGAGGTGATATTAATTTACGTACTCAATTAGAATGGAATCAAAGAGATCTATTTGTCATAGGAATATTCATTTCACATTTTTTTTTTCTCAAGGACGATGCTATTGATTGTATCTGTATAAGAGTAAGGACATCAATGAGCTGGAAACCTCAATTTCAGAAAATGAAGTTCCTGCGTAACAATTGCAGTCAACATTTATGAGTCATATTGACAAAGGTCTTTCGCATTTGTTGAAATGCTTTTTCTTGCATTCGCTATGGATGGTCTTTCTGACATATTACACTACTAGAATAAGGATGGAAATTAAATATAGAAGTAATAAGAAAGAAATAGGTTTAAAAAAAACATGGGTAAGGAATCAGAAAGGGGTATGTAAAGGGGTGTAAATGCAAAATTGACATTTCGGTGAGAACTAACTGTTTAGTATAAATTTCAATGCTGGAGCAGAAGTTGAGAACCTAAACAAGTTGTACAATTAGTTTGCGATGCAACTTTATACCTAAAGAGGGTGAACATTTAGTTTTATAAGATACTATGATTAAGTGATAAGCTAAATAAGGATGCCTATTAATCACTTGTAATATATTCATAGGATTGGTGTAAGTACCCGGCTGGACAAATTTTCTTTCCTCTATGTTGTTCAGTGGCAATTAAAATTCGCTTACAGTTGTAAAAGAAAAAAGCACAAGTACTCCCTAATTATGAAGTTTATATCAATTTTACCTCTATTAATGTTCTGTCTCAGTATATGATATTGTTAGCATACATTTTGTTCACAGGAATAACATACTTTATTTGTATTTGACGAATTCTACTTCTACTTTTTTTTTAAGAAAAAAAAAAAAAAAATCTTACAATGATCCCACAGCTTATGAATAATATTGAAGCGCAAGTGAGAAGGAAAAAGAAAAGCTAAACGTTTTATAACAACTTTTAACTAAATGTCACCCAAAAAGTATGTCGAACAACAATTATGGGAGGGAGAAAGTAAAAGTAAGACGAGCAAGCTATTCGTAGTGGAGTATTCCTAATGGATTATCATAAGAATTGTATCTCATTCTATATTTAGTAACTTTTAATATTTTAGTTTATTTGTAATGACATCACTAGTAGGAGTGGCATGGCATATTTGAGACCATAACATTCATAAATGTATTAAACCATAGTGATATAAAATAATTTTGTCTTTTCCGTAATAACAAAGTGCAATCTAGATAAGTACAAACAATTATCAATAATCCAATAATTGTTTTATTCTTTTCTTGTTTGCACCAAGAAATTGCAGCCAGTCAAATTGGAAGAATATTTTCATCGTTGAGGCTTTGATAATGTCGAGTTAAGCAACCAAGAAGGTATCTCAGGCAAATCACTGGTAATTTACTTCTCTCTGTATGTGTTTTTTTTTTTTTTTTTTTTTTTTTTTTTTTCATAACTTCGTTTTCTTTAAGATCAACATGCTGTTGACTTTGGTTGATTGCCCAAAAAAATGATTGTTATCCCATCCGCTAAGTTTGTATGTACCCAGGAACTATTCTTTCTGGCTGTCCCTCCCCCGGGACTTTGTCCTTGGGTTTGTCAACCAACCTGACATGTTTATATTGGAGCGCCTCGACGATGATGTAGTCGTAGTAGTCCTCTGATGGAAAATCTGTTAAGATCCGCCCATGATTCATGGAACTATTCTAAAATTTACCCGGCATTTCTCTTCCCTTCAGAAAAGTCTCCTTAAAATTCTCTTTTAATCTTCTTTCTCTATAACCAAAAAAAAAAAGAACTTTTCCCAATTTGTGGGGAATAAGGTGATTCTTTTTAGTTGGAATCTGTCATGAGACCTCCTCTTCCATTCCTACTTTGAGGAAGATGTGTAGTTATGCTGTTTAAAGAGTTTAAGATAATTACATGTAAATATCTATGAAAAATATTAAATAACATATTGAAAATAGTAATTAACCTACTGTCACATATTAAACGACATTAATAGTCAATATTTACAATATTAGTATATTTGATCTAAATCTTACTTCAAACTGAATTAGGTTAAGTTCTTATGACAAACATGACCTCGCAACAACAACCACCCAGTATAATCCCACTAGTGGGGTAGTGTGTACGCAGACTTTACCCCTACCATGGGGTAGAGAGGCTGTTTCCGATAGACCCTCGGCATTCTTCCCTCCAAGAACTTTCCACCTTGCTCTTGGGGTGACTCGAACTCACAACCTCTTGGTTGGAAGTGGAGAGTGCTTACCATCAGAGCAACCCCCTCTTGTCAAAAAACATGACCTCGCAACCATGTATATAAAGTAGATAAATTTATATAATGAGTTAAAATAATTACTTTGAAATTATAAAATTCTTTACACTGTCAGCGTATACAACTTAAACCATATTACATTATGTTATGTGGCCTTTACAGAAACTCTCGACAAAGGTAGAGCCTGATCAAGCAGCATATATGTATGGCTACAAATAAGCATGAGAAAGGGCATTCTATGTCCTCAGCTGAAGCAATTGAAGCTAGTGATGACCTTCTAATGAAACTACTATTATGCCTCCCACCAAAACCACTTTTCATGTTCAAATTAGTATCCAAAAGGTGGATATCCACCATTTTAGTCCTTATTTCTCTTCCCTTTGGAAGCCTAGGCCTACCTCTGGTCTCTTTGTGAGCTTATCTTCAACATCAAATATACTTATATATCCCTTATACAACCTAAACAAAATCCAGTGGTACCTCTTCAATGCCTTGATTTTATTAAAGATTCTTGTGGAGTTGAAATTTTACAATCTTGTGGTGGTTTATTATTTCTTTGTCGATCGCGTGCAAGTGAATCTAGTTTACAATACTATGTATACAATCCAACAACAAAACATTTCTCAACATTCCCATATCCAAATCTACTCGACAAATATCCAAGAATTTCATGCTTGAATTTGGCATTTGATCTATCTAAGTCACCATATTGCCAAGTTATCCACATCTATGGTGAGTACAGATTAAACATTGTATTCCATATTGAAACATACACCTTTGAGACCAACACCTGGAGATACTTTGGAGGTCCATTCGTCGGTCCAGTTGGCACGAGCTTTTCTAAGGGTGTTTTCTTGAATGGTACACTTCACTGGCCTACAGACTACTCAGAAACTTCAGTATGTTATGATGTTTATGAGAAGCGTATCAGAAAATTTCCAATGCCTCCACTTCAGAATGCATATGGTCGAAACTTGAACTATTTCGGGGAAGTTGAAGGGAAGTTGCATGCTATTGATTATACAGAGTGTAATGCATCAAATTTGATGTCTTTGTGATGGAAAATGACTACTCTTGCTGGTTCAACAAGTACCATATTGATCTTGACACAGTGGCTAAATCATTTCCTGAAATGGTGGTCTATAAGCCCGATCCATGGACAGATAATACAACAACTTTTCTCAGATACAAAGTACATTCAATCGTTGAAACAGAAACGCCAGATAGTCCATCTTTGGTGCTTTATATACATGATGATAAGTTCATATCCCTGAATTTGACAGATAATACGTTGTTGAAGCTGTCTGATTTAAGTAGACGATCGTCTGATCAGCAGAAATCATATTTTAGGAAGTCTCGAGCCTTCCAGTATGTTGAAAATCCATTTTGGATATAAGCAGAGACAGATCTAGGTATGGTTCTGTGAGTTCAACTTATCTCATTTGCTTTCTGCTCGAACTATGTGTGATTAGAAGCTGTAAAACTGTACTCACAGTTTCTTATATTAATGTATTTAAAATGGAAAATTATGCAACTAGATCAATCTTCTGAAACAACATGATAATGAGGTGGTTTTCATATGGTTTGATTAGTGAATATACATGCCAACAATCTCTTAATTAAAGCACGGACTTAAACTTTAATTGTCAAAAATGAAAAAGAAAAGTTACTCCCACTATCCCAATTCAAATGTCTTGTTTGTCTAAAAGATGAAAAGGTTGAATCTAGAATGTTTATTAAGTTTATTCTTAAAAGTGGATTTTCATTTCTCCTAATCTTAGGTAAAAAATTAATCATCTTAGTAAAAGAATATGGAGTCCGGAACCTAGGCGGAAGGTTTTTGGACTCAAGGCACCAACATAGGTGCATAAAAAACCCGGGCACCATTTTATATATAGCGCATGTAGTGTAATATATTAACGGGGTAACTGGCCATTAACGTATAACGCATGTATACAAAGTCTCCTTCTTACCCCGGTAGAAGGCACGAT